AGATGAAGTCACATATCTATAGATTTGTGTCATCTTCTAAAAGTGGACCCCTCTCTCTCTCTCTCTCTCGCTCTCCTCCCATGAGCAGGGAGCTGAGCAGAGCGATTTACAGGCTGTCGGGTGTGCTTTGTTCCCATGTAAGTCAAGTCTCGGTGGAGAAGAGACGCATCAGTGCTCCAAATGGCCCCAGCCGTCTCATTGCATTATCTTCAAATGGCACGTCTGATGGAGAAGTTAGAGAATAGCTCTACTGGCTTCTCTCATTTAGATACGCCTCCCTTATTTAACATGTAATACACCAAGATAGTCCTGTATATCTTTGTGGTAACCAAAATGTAACATGTTTACTTAAGTACAAGACCCTGGTCTTGGGGATTTGTGGTTATTCATGGTTTTGTGCCATGTGATGTCTTCTGAAGCAATCTTCATGGATTCATAGGGTTCTGGGTGCATTCTCATAGATAAAACAGCATCAAGCCTGCATTAATACTGAGTCACCTATTATAGAGGGTGATTATTCTTATTCTGCCAGAGGCCAGTGTATGGCTGCCTGGAGGGAAGAGAGCTCTGCACATGAAAGCTTGTTGATAATTTCACGAATGCCTTCACTGAAACACACACACACACACTTGTATACGTGGTCACTTGTATATGGTCATATTTATGAACATTTATAAGTATGTTTCAGTATAGATATGCATTTATTTGATAGAATAAAAACAGCAATATTGTTGAAAGAAATATTACATTTAAAAGAATTGTTTTCTATTTTCATATATTTTAAAAAGTAATTTATTCTTGAGATGCCAAAGCTGAATTTTCAGCAGCCATTAATCCAGACTTTAGTGTCGCATGATCCTTCTGAAATTATTCTAATATTGTGCTCAATACTAACAACCTGAACACTGATATCTTAATTGTGAGCTTTTATTCAGAAAATATTTGAATGATTAAAGAATCCATATAAACTTTGACTAGCAACTTATGAAAAATCAGTTTTAAGATTTTTGCTAATAAAATGTTCTAATTGTAATGTATAATGAGAACACTGGTTCTGAATAATATGAAGCCACGGACAAATAACTTCGACTGATGTGAAGCCTCACTGGTGCCTGACTAACTGAAAGTGTAAATATTGTAAAGCATCAACTTTTTCATGTGAAAGTGACTGAATGACAGCCTACTCGGCCTTTATGTTCTCCAAGTAATTTATCATCCTTTTCCACACATGGGTAATTTATCTAGCTGAAGAGAGAAAATATGTTTGCACTGTGGTTCTTATAGGAAAGACATCTTGATATTCCACTTTTCTAAATTGGAGATGGAGGTGAAGTGACATTTTCTCCCCACAATTTCTCCCAATTTAACTCTTTCACAATGCTCCTACTTGCCTGACATGGAGGTTTTACTGTCTCTGCTAACCCTTTATTTAAATAAAAATGAAAAATAAATATTATACATCTAAATATTATATTAAAAGAAAACAAGTTTTATATGCAACAGAGTGTAATCTCATACTAGTCTTATGTGTCCTTGTTGTTGCTAGGTACAATATTTTTTGTACAATAATTATATAGAGATAATTATATCTCAGATAGCAATTAATGGAATATAATGATCCCCAACGTACAACCACAAAACATTCCAAGGCTGACAGATACCAGGTGTCAACAATGTAATGAAATCATATTAAAACAGATTTATAAACATATACGGTTTCAATATTATAGCTTATCATAGACCATATTTTCTGACCAGAATGCTGCACATGTACAGTATGTCACAGCTGTGCACCATGAAATTATTCTGCAAATTTAAATGATGACAGACCAATTATTTTTGCACACAAAAAAAAACCCCACCAGATACGATTCAGTAGTACAATTTTATTTAAAACTAAAAAAGTCAGCAAGTTGCAATTAAATTAGTTCAATGCACAATATATAATAGTTTTACATTTTGGTATGTGATGCATACATTGTGCAACAACCTCTGATTACTCAAATATATATTAATGGCTTGTTCCAGACAAACAATAACACTTATTCTGTTCTGACGACACCGACTTACTTATCCCTATAAACATTTTCTCTTACTCTGTACACACAATAGACTGTCAAGAAGGCAAATATTGATATGTACATTCATGCAATACAATTCTGAGTACCTTATACAGTATAATATGTACAGTATAATACACATATATCTTTAATTCATATATCTTGTTGAAGGGGTGAATGACTGTACAGTAGATTGTGAGAATGTTTTAAAGAATATGAAGAGAGATTGCTCAGTTGTATATGGTTGTATATTCAGTGTTACTATGCATAAACATTGCATCACTGTTTTCTAAGTACAACAAGCTCCTGTCTACAAAAAGGTGGGGGGGTGGGGGGTTTCGATACATGTTCAATATACTGTATAGTTCCAATGAAAAAAACTGAAACAATAGAGAGAATCTGGTTAAGAGTGATATTACAAGCTAAATTTAGGGTTTAAGCTTGTTTGATGAATCACCTTGATACATCTTTAAAGCGTCCACTAACCCACATGAAATCACAGTATTATCAACTTTAAAAATAGCTTTAAACCATCTTAGTAAAAGCTTGTAACATCCTAGTTTTTAAGAGTTACCAAAAAAAGGTCAAGAAGAGACTTGATGTGAATCTAGAATGATTTGCAAACATTCCAAAGAGATGGACCACATGACGTGATAATCAAATCCAGTTACACACGTGCACTGTTTTCTATTAACCACACTGATTTGAGAAAATGACTGACTAATGTAAAATCTATATATTTCCCAATGCATTAAGTTCTAAAAAAAAAAAAAAAAAAAAAACCAATTTTTAATACAT